CACTGACCTTCTTAGGGCTAAATACCTTGGGTTTTGCATCCTTAAGCTTAACTTCGATACAAGGCTTTCCATCTTTATTCACAATTTTGTGAGGAACAAGCTTCATATCCCTTTGGACTGTTATTTTGCAATTTTAAAATTGTATTTGATTTATTTAATTTATTTTATTTGATATTTGCATTTTTTTAGGAATAAGTTTATAACGTTATATTAGTTTCCTAGTTTTTTGGATTATCCTACAATATCTCCTAAATATCTAAATTATGGTTATTTAAAGACACATTAATGTGTACTAATTGGGCCTTTTTTTTTTTTTTAATTGTGTATGTAATAAGACTTCAAGTAATCATCTAAAGAAGTCAAAAATCCAACAGCATTCAAATGGTAGAGAGTCCATCTAGCAAAACATGATTCCACGACCAAGAGCTGTTTTGGTCGGCAATAGATGTATTTTTTGCGACCAAAACTCTTGGTTGGCAATTGTCATTTTTTGCGAAAAAAATTTATTTTGGATGTCGCGACTAATAAATTGGTCGCCAAAGCAGGAAAACAATACACCTGTAATTCCTAATAATTCATTCAATCCATAATAAACCTATAATTTTAAAGCATCATTCAAATTAACTGAATCATTAACATTCGATATAATACATAATTCATTAACATTCGACACAATACAACTATTCTAAGTTTTCATTCACAAGTCACATCCATCTAGCATAACAATTTGAAACATAACTATTTGTTATCCATGCACAACTATCAACAAATAAAACTACTAATATTTGTTATCCATACACATCCATCCAAAAATATTTAATCCTCCCAAAAATGCTTATATTGCCAAGTAGTCTTGTACAATTTAGCTTCGTGAACTTGTTAAGAAATATGTTGGGGAGGGTGCTCGTCTGGTTCGTGAACTTTTGATCCATTTTTCCCAACTTTTGATCCACTTTGGATATTAACTTTGTAATTAGCAATCATAAATAAGAACAAAAAGATCAGACTAAGTAACTTTGTAATTAGCAATCATAAAAGTGATATTTAATGATGGAAAAAGGGTGGAAATTTGGATATTAACAAGGGGCTACTTACCGGGAACAGGTTATAGTAGTAATCTCCTATTGTCAACATGCTGTTCCAAGAGACGAGACCCAAGTCCTAGAATCCAACATACTACCATTGCACCATACTTCCCCTGAAATATCATAAATAAGAACAAAAATCAATGTTTTGAATTATAATAAATGTAACTCTTGGCAGTGTAAACCATTGAAATTAACAAAGTTCGATCCACAAACCTGAAGCCTAGTTGGAGATCCACTTGTTTCAGTAATAGTCATGACTTCTTCTTCAGAACAATAATAATAATCTTAATACTGAGAGGCAAATGACGTTATTGTAACATATGTTTTGAAATGTCATTTACTTGAAGAAAAAAAAAAATACTATTGAGAAGAAGAAAGAAACATAAACCCAAATATCTGGCAGTGGTTACCTTCAAAATTGAAACTACTACACAGATGAATGCTGTACGACATTCCCCACAAATGAAAAGTCCATTTATGCTGGAAAAAAAAGGGGCTATTTCAACCAAGTAGAATGTTGATTGAAAAGCAATGCAACAATCATCAACTAAAACTAATCTTTAATAATCCCAGAAAAAGATAGATATCTCATTTATCAAAATTTGAGCTTTTCAAGTAATAAAAACAAATAAGTAAATCTATGGTTGAAAAATATTACAAAAATGAAACTGATAGCAAGAGGGTAACAGGAAATAGACTCATACATACATTGTAATGCTTTTTCCATAAAATGATCAATAAAGAACATAGACTTTAAAAAAAAATTAAACAAATAAAAAATAAAATACAAATAAGAACAATTTCTAGCAACTACCAAGTAGAATGGTACTAAGAATCACAAACTGATCAAAAAACTTAAAGAATGCCAGAAAAGGTGGATAACCCATTTATCAAACTTTGAGCATCTCAAGAAATAGCTGAATCAATGGCTGAAATATTGCAAAAATGAAGCAGCTAGCAAGTGGGTAAATAGAAATACATTCGTACATATCCAGGAAAATCCATTGCCAACACTGTATACTCAATTCAAAAAATTTAATGGGTATTCACAGCTAGCAACTTATTATGATTTTAATTGGGTATGTGATAGAGATACTCACAATATCTCCAAAGTCTGCAGTAGTCCTAGCGTTGAAGGAATCTTGCCACTGAGTTCATTGTTATTAAAAACCCTGCTCAAATTAATTCACAAGATGACATTGAAATTAGGGCTCATATTGAGAGAAACGGGGCTGCCCAGAAATTCAGTCCAACATTCCTCATCATATTATGAAATTAAAAAAAGAAGAGAACACCCATTCTGTCAACAGTTAAAAGGCAAAATTGAGTAGGACTTGTCATTATATATGAATTCATTCAAACGCATATTTAAAATATTATTCTCGTAACAAATGTTGTTCTCTTTGTCACGATGAAAGCTTGTTGCTTATACTTGCCATACGGGTAAGCAAACTGCATAAATGCATAACCTGTTGTTCTGTCATTCAAGTGCATACCAGAGACTCGTGAATAAATTGCTGGTTCAAAGGAACTCACACATGTATCAGAGACATATTTGAATTGAAAAGTGAAGTCTCTGCCAATGGTTAAAGTAATTGCCGAAGCTACTGAGTTTCTTTACGAAGTGACTGAACTTCTTTCATAATCTCAGCTTGATTTTCCAGGATTGAGCTCATCACACAAGACATTTCCATCTGTAGAGTGATACAGTGAGTGGAAGCTAGTTAAAGAACAACAAAAGCAACGGAATGAACTTGAATATTATATATATATATATATACCTCCTGCATATGAAACTGCCTTAAAATTTCAATATGAAGGTTCCTCATATCTTCATGAATGGATTTCTAGAAGGCACCAAGAGTTTCTTCAAGAGTGCGTTGAAACAGTTGAAGTGTAAAAGAGGACCCCTGCTGTGTGTGAGGTTGAGATGGGATTCTCGGGGGTTGTGAAACTCCTCCCTATTACAATACTACAGGTCAATGACCATTCTATTTTAACAAAAAATGACGCTAGCTTTAAGAAATCTGGGTGAAAGGTTAAGATGTTGAATTATCACAAAGTGTACGTCTACCTCACAGTTCCAGGAATAAACCTAAATTTAAGCTCACAAAATGTAAGTCAAGTTCACACCTAAATTTAATAGATGGAGGCACCGGAAAATTGTACAAACAAGAAATTAGATAAATCCATGATGGTGATCTTACATTCGCATATGGAAGAGTCCTTTGTTCTGTAGCAGATAATGTGTTTGTCCTTGATAACAAGCTATTCAACAGTTCTTCTCTCGTTTCAGCTCCTGTTTTCTTTGTTTTTGGTGAACCCACCGAGAGGGATGTTCCATCACTAAAGGCCAGATTAGTACTCATCCTTTCAGCATAAGTGGTAAATTTTTGAGGGTGGTTTAATGCTGACCCCAGAGAATCAAGGTTAGACTGCCCTGAAGTAGTACTTTTCATTCCTAGAGAAAGGGACATAGAACTGAAGGGGATATGCTCTGGAAATCCCAGTGAAGACTCTTGATTGGAGGAGTTGTCTCTGTTGCGTAAATTTGCCGAGATCAGGTTTGAACTTGTTAGGTAACTCATACTTGTCTGGCTAGTTGTAGAAAATGAAATACTTATAGCCAGAGGGACAGAGGGAAAACCAAAACAATACAAAAAGAAAATGAAATAATTATAGCCAAACAGTTCACTTCCCATCTCAATATGATGTTAGGGGCATCATGGACTGAAAGGTCAATTTTGATCCTCAAGTGGAAAGGTATACATAATTTTTTTTTTTTTTATAAATTGGAAAGATATGCAGAATTATTTAAATGATGAGTAATTAATGCTCTCAATCTAAATTAGTAAATATCAGGCAGCAAACAAGTGATTCAATAAAATTGAAAGGGAATTAGAGAGGGGCAAAAAGTAAACCTGTTTGGAAGTTGAACTAGGTTTCCAGTCAAAAATTGGATGATCACTGTCACCTCCTTCCTCTGAAAGAGGAAATCTCCTATTAGATGAAGGAAAGAGCAAAGAAGGTTTCTTATCAACTCGAAGATGATCTTTTTTTGCACCCTCATGCTGATCCCAAAGTTTATCAAGTGATGGTGTAATAGGTTGGACTTCCATAAGTGGGGAAAACACTTTCATATCATCCTTGAAATTATAATTACGAGGAGCATGTAATCTCGTCAAATTTCCACCAGTCCACAAAGTGCCGAAAAGTGGTGTTTCTTCTGTTGTAGATGAATGAAGCGAGCTTAGCATAAATCCACTACTGGTTGCTAACATGGAAGATGACTCTATAGAAGGGCTTGAACGACCAGGGTTTCGAGAACCAGCTGTCGTTATAGAAGTTGAAAGGCTTGATGATGTCACAGAAGGGAGTGGATCAGGCATAAGGAGTGAATCTTCAACAGCAACTCCTAGAAGAGCAGTCTCAACTGTGCAGTTGTTTTCATTTACCAAAACTGGTTTCGATCTTTGCCAGCAGAGGCTTGTGACGGCCTGATGAAAATCATAATACATAATCATTAATAACCATAATGATAACTTAATACCTATGATTCATTTACCTTTATTATAAACACAAACCAAAAGTAATGTTTGAACTTTACCAGAACATACTTTTTACGGCCCGCTGAAATTCATAATGCGCTGTCAATGATAAACATGAGGATAATAAGTGTAATTTATGGTAAGACTCGTTAATCAGTTGACCGTGATGTCAATCTAAACTAAATTTAAGAGGCAACAATCTTGGATGGACCATTGACGAACATCATTATATAACTTCCCATGAAATGAGCGTGTTTTGCAACATTAATAACTATTTCCTCTTCTTTCTTTTTTTTTCCCCCTCATAAAACATCTACTAGAAGAGGCACATCCATTGAATCACCTCTATTGATGGTGCTAGTTAGCTTCATTCAAAAGTCATCCTAGAAGAGGCCCATCCATTGAATAACCTCAACTGAAAAATTGAGGGCAACACGTGTAAATAGCAGTTATAAAGAGCATCCTCTCAATACCTCATTAACATTAGATATTGTTGAGCACATTTTAAAAACACTATCAATTGAGGGCAACACATGTAAATAGCAGTTATAAAGAGCATCCTCTCAATACCTCATTAACATTAGATATTGTTGAACTCATTTAAAAAACACTTTCTATCTCTTCTGAATGAATGAATAGCTCATTGGATCTCTAGAATTTATGGAAAGATACATATTACCTGAAGAAAAATGAAATTTCTCACACACATTCATAAGCTATATCATGCAAGTATATGCCAAGCATTTATAGGACTCTAAACTTAGATCTCTCTATCTAAATAACAACAGATTGAAGAAAGGAAATTGACCTCAGAATTTCCATATGCATGAAGTTCAACCAGAGGTTGTGGTTTTCCATGAACATCATAGAACACCACTCGCCCATTGCTTGTTCCAGCAACCAGTATCCAGCCATCATCTCTGAATGCCAATGAAGAGAAAGGTGCATCATAAGAAATGCAAGATGCGAGTTTCCTACTGCCTGAGTCAAAAGTGTATAACTTTTTATCAAGGCCAACACTAGCAATTACCTGCACTTATGCCACGTGAGTAAAAGATATGATCAGAATGATATGGCCAAATTTGTCCCTAAGAGACTTCATCATCCACAGACAATTTAGAGTGTGGGTTCCATTTACCATACAAACATGAAAACCTGGAGTGCAGAATGGATCGTAAACACTCTTGAATTAGGGCACTTCTCTCTGCAACAACATCAGGAGATACATTCCCAAAAATCTTTCTGGATACCCGTTCGACAGAGGACCAGGTAGAAGGAAGAAACCAGCCTTGCCCAGTAAACAATGTCTTCAACCGACGATAGAGAGTGCAAAAATCACGGTACCGTATGCATGCGTATGGTTTTGGAGAATACCCAACAACAACCACAATAGCGAATACCCAGCAATCGCTCCCTCTGTGTGAGAGAAAGACAGAGGGCGATGGCGATTTGCGGCAGTGGCGATGTGCGACGGATGTGAGCAACGGTGGTGAGGGACTTCGGTGAGCTAGAGAGAGTGGGCACCGATTGAGGGCAACAATTGAGAGAAAGAACACAGAGAGGGAGAGGGTGGACCGAGACACAGAGCGAGATAGTCGACAATGGAGATTAGGGCTCTTTTTTTTTCTTTTTTCTTTTTTCTGCTTTCATGGTACAAAACGACGTCGTTTTGTAAATGGCGACCAAATTTTTTTGTCGCAAAAAAAATTCAATTCCCGCCCCACTAAGTTTCAAATTTCCCTCCCAAACTTTTGGCGACCAAAAGACCACATTAGTCGCAGAAAAAGTACCTTTGCCAACAAATTTTTTTGGTCGCCAAATCTCAATCAACGGCGACTAAAATATTAGTCGTTAAAAGTACTAATTTGGCGACTAATTTTTTTTGGTTGCTGAAAATAAGTTTTTGGCGACCAAATTTTTGGTCGCCAAAAAATATGTGACCTTCCGCAACCAAATTTATAGTTGGTCGGCAAAAACATACCATTTTCTGCGACCAACTCATATTTTGGTCGCCAAAATATAACCTTCTGCGACCAATAATATTTGGTCGCCAAAAATAATGATCATTCGCGACTAATTAATATTTGGTCGCCAAATGTCATTTTTTTGCGACCAAAATAATTTTGGTCGGCAAAAGTGGTCGCAAAATGTGTAAATTCTTGTAGTGTCACTTTGAGTATGAAACGTCCCACATTTCTTGTGTTTGGATTAACGTCCAATCCAAACACATGCAATGCAACACAAATGCTTATCTTTCACAAGTTTTACATGGTTCGATTTTTGTTTACACATTTTAGCTTACCAATTAGTCCATTAACTGGTTAAGTCCAATGTGAAAAGTCCTCTAATTGGAGAGATGGTCTAAGCCACCAGTGCCTTGAGCATAAAAGAGGTCTCATGCTGTTGGTTAGTAGAAACCCTCAAGGGAGGATTAAAACAATTAGGCATGAATGCCTCAAATTCATGCTCAAACCAACAAGGGGCTTAAGACCACTTTCAAAGTGAATGAAAGATCGAAATGATAGAGTGCAATGACATATATTTCAGCATTGAAATAACATGCTAAGTGACTCGAAATCATGCAAACAACTCATGTAATGCATGTTTAAAGGCTTAACTCATTATGCTAATGAAAGGGGTTGTACCACAACCTTACAACACAAGCCTCAGAGGGCCAAACCAACTCAAAACAGAGTTAAAGCATGCCAAAACAAAGGCTAAATCATGCTGAGGTTGAAGCTTAAAAGGCAAGAAAATCATGCACGCAAAATGGCTCACAAGCAAGGCATAAGGCATAACTCTCAAAAGCGATTAAAGAGTGATAGATGTGAGAGAGTGACAGAGGAATATGCTTTGAAATCACATACTAAATGATGCCATATCATGCAAACAACTCAAATAAAGCATGCTAAGTGCCTTAAAACACAAAGCTAGTAAGGACTGTTTACACTATAGCTATACAAAGCGAAGCACATGTGACCAAGACCACTTGGAATAGAATTAAAGCATGCTACAATAAGTCCAAAAGCATAATGAAATAGAGCTAACATAAGCTAGGGTGATAAGCTAACTCATTAGGCATGCAAGGCTAGTGAGCAAGATTGCACTATAGGCGTAAGAAGCAAACAAGAGGTGCTCCAATCAGCCAAAAATAGAGTTATAACATGTTAAAATAAGGCCAAAAACATGCTTGAACTAAGCTACAATGTAATGACTCAGATCTTAATTCACATTGGATTGATGTATAGTGGTGCCCGTCACCTTAAAATTGGTATGGTCGTCGGACTCTTGATATTGATGGGTTGGCAAGTGAACTTTAAATATTATAATTGAGGACCCTTGGGTGATGTTTGGAACCTTAATTGATGCCTTAACAAGGTATTTAGAGAAGATTAGATAAAAAGCCCCAAATTTGAGTTTGAGTTTTTGACCAGCCATCACCCTTTTTTTTTCCACACTTTGAATTTGGATGTGAGGCTAGAACCATTGGAAAGGTTATTTCTTGGGCTTCGATTTGGACACAAGAACGACCTAGAACGAAGTCCGGATGAGAGAGTTATACCCGTTTGAAGTTTTGGAATCTGTGCTGGAAGCAGGTCCACTTGAGCGGGAAAATAGGCGCTCGAGCGGACTGCGCGAATTTAGCAGCTTAAAAACGTGATTTTTAGCTCATTCTCTGCATTTTCCTTTTCCTTTTCCTTCTTCATCCCTCTCACCCTAGGTCCGAAAATCCTAGGGTTTTGACCTCAAATACCTTCCATTTCCCTAAGGATTGGCTAAGATCTCTTACAAAGAAATGAAGAAGACTTGAAGATCATACTTTTCAACCGATTGAAGTTCGGATTTGTGGAAGAATCTCATCAAAGCTTTTCCCATTTGCTTGATTCTTGAGGTAGGGGTCCTAGTTCTCCTTCAATACTTCCATAAATAGATAGATTTGTGGTATTTTGAGTATATACATATAAAATCCACATTTTTGAGCATATAGTTACATCATGATTTTTGGGGGTTTAGGGTTTGAAGTGTTGGGGGTTCAATTGTTGGGTTAATAAGGTGGATTATGAACCTTAGGTGTTTAATCAATGGGAAGATTGGAATAAAGAGTAGTGGTTGAAGAAGTTAGAATTTTTTCTTGAAATTCTTGATTTTCTTGAAAACCCTAAGTTGATTCATGATGATAAACAATGATTTTGCCCAAATTGAAAGTAGAATCATGAAATTGGTAGGTTAAATTATATATATACAACTTTAATTGGATTTTGGAGGTGTTTGAAAATTATGTTAAAAATTAGCGATTGAACCTTTGTTATGGATATTGTAATTTATGCTATAATGTGAATGAAGATTGGGAAAATGGTTTATTAATGATATGGATGACATGAGCCTTGGGGTGAAATGATGAAATAAAGGTTTAAGAGTTCACATTGAATAGTGTTGATTATGTTGAGTTGTGTTGAATAATGTTGAACCGAATTGTGTTGGACTATGATGAATTGTGTTTGAATCATGTTGAATTGTGTTGATTTGAGTTGTGTTGGGTGTGTTGAGTTTGAGTTGTGTTGTGTTGGATCATGTTGAGTTTGAGATGAGTTGTGTTGGGTGGTGTTGTGTTGGTACCCGCGGGGGGGAGTTGAAAGATGATACAAAATTTGTGACAAGATGATGAAGTGAAGATTTAAGAATTTTATTGTATAATTAGAAAGTGATTTTATACCTCAAAACTAAAAGCCAACTTTATATTTAACTCTAGTTATGAAGTTTTATTTTGAAAAATGAGGATACTTCAATCAACATTAAATTTATGAAATTAAGTCTATGTTAGGCTAAGATGAGTGCGAATAATGATAAATGAGAGATTGTGAAATATGACGATGTTATATGAAGGAGTTGTATTAAAGAAAATTAAATGTTGGAGATTTAATTTATAATCGTGGGTAGTAGTTGATAATCAATGTGTTTAAAAATTGAATTTGAAGACTTGATGATAATATGGAAAAGTAAAGAAATAGTTTGAACCCAAGAATTGTGAACACTTTAAAAATGAGTCTTTGCCTCTATGGATGTGTTGCAATATTTTTGTGTGGCAAAACAACGAATGATTTAACGGATAATGAAGAAGGTCGTTGAATATATTTGTACTTGTTATGTGAATGTAATTTTAATATATGGTGGATGTATATTGAATTAGCGTGTTACGAAAATAATGGAAGATGTGTTGGCATTGTCCACTAATTGTAATGATAGATTGTGATGTTATCTTGGGGTCCGTTTCCCGCCGTATTTGAGCCGACAAAGCGTGTTGGCATTGTCCACTAATTGTAATGATAGATAGGTTCCGCCTTCCTTCCGAAGTAGCACTCTGTAAAGCG